ACTAGGCGAGCGACAGATTCAACGTGGTCTCGCCCGCGTTTCCTGCGTTCTTGGGCGTACACCCACTTCTGATTCGCAGGATTCGATAGCAGAAATCTCTTCATGATGCCGAACTAGAGTGCGGACTCCGTGGTGATTTTTTTTGTTTGGTCATTACCCATGTGGTGATTTTTTTGCTAAACGAAAATTACCTTAATGTTAAGAGGTTAACGAAAGTCAAAAAAAACTTTTTGAGTGGCTATTATTTTGTGAAGTACGGTAGATATAGGAAAATCTATACTGGGTTTTAAACGAAAGAGAAATTAGCCTTGGGTTAAGGTAGTAATTACTCTTGGAGTAAGCAGATTGCGATCTGCTAACTCGTACTTATTCTAGGTATAGAACGAAAGGTCGGTGACCTAAATTACGCTTCCTCTAAGCGCAACGCTCCGGAAGCCCCGCTGCACTTGGTAGCACTTGTAGGTCAATCTATACCCGAGTCGTTTAGACTGATCCTTTGCGAGGATGGAACAATTTTTCTCTTTGCCCCATGGCATCCAGGACAGGCTTAACAAGCTGATGTCCTGGCTTGGCCCTGAGGGCGTGCAGCACCTTGCGGCGCAAGACCCCAAGGCAATCGGCGCGTGTCTAGAGGCGGTTTCAAATTACGAAAACGCGCTGCTAGAGCACCTGAAGCAGAAGATGTCTGCATCATTTGCGTCTATGACACCAACGTCGGTGACGGATGACTTTCCCCCACCTAAGCCGTTCATGGTGAGCATTAAGGTCTTTGAGGGGATGGATGGAGAAACTTACTGCTCTGGGTGAGAGTGGTCGAGATGGCCATCGCATTTGCCAAACTCCAGACCGAGCAACAACATGTATCACTAGCAATCTCAAAGCTCGGTGGTCGAGTGCGAGAATGGGCACTGGCGTGCAGCACTTCGGTCGAAGCTGCGTTTCCCTCCTGGGCGGAGCTGAAATTGCAGCTCTCACGAGTGTTCTCGCCGCCGAATCAGGCATATCACTTACGATCGCGTTTTCTTGCCGCCCGACAGGGCAATAAGGAATTGGTGGACTTTGTCCAAGAGATGCGCCCTCTTTCTGCCGGGATGACTGCAGACCCCCTTCCGGAGGCGGTCATAGTGGTCGTCTTTATGGAAGGCCTCCGCACTGGCGTGGCCAGAATGGAAGTCTTCCTTGTGCATCCGTCTTCGTTTAAAGAGACGGTGAATGTGGCGCTA